CACTAAATTCTTGTAAATGTATCTTTAAAAATAATTTTTAATTTAAATTTTTTATTGTTGACACTGTGCCGATGTCTCCCATCCCCCACCCCTTTTGCCCTCCTCCATCCAGTCACTGCCCCCCTTGCCCTCACTGCAATATTGTCTGTGTCCAAGGGCTATGCATATATGTTCTTAGCTAATCCTTCACCTTCCTTTATCCAGTCCCCTTCCCCTCCCCTCTGACAGCTGTCAGTCTGTTTCATGTATCCATGCCTCTGGTTCTATTTTGTCAGTTTATTTTGTTAATTAGAATCCACTTATTAGCGACATCATATGGCATTTGTCTTTCTCTGATCGACTTATTTCTGCTTAGCATAACGATCTCCAGGTCCATCTATGCTATTGCAAAGGGTGAGAATTCCTTTTTTACTGCCTGAGTTTTTTCTATTATCGCAAGTCAGTTAAAGAACTGTAACTGTTTTGAGTTAAGGAAGCCTTTCCAACTATTCAGCAACCCTTTTGAGGGTGAAATAAAAGTCAGTCTTCTAAGTAATCTCATACTGCTGAAAATATTATCTCGGTGTGTTTGTGTGTTTGAGGTCGCAGAAGTCCAAAAGTGTAATTTGGCTTTAGCTCTGTAATGTGATTCCTTACTCTGATTTTGTTTTAAATATTAGAGATTCATTCTGTTGAATCATATGTCTTATAATTAAAATTTCGAAATCATGAAGAAATGTTTCCTTTATTTCACATCAGATTCTAAAGAGTTCCAAACAAGATTTCCATTGAGAAATATGAGAAGTGTTCACTACATTTGAATTATGATCTAGGAAGTTTGGCTATTTTATATATGAACAGATGTAATTTGGTGAGTTTTTCTTGAGTATAGGTGCTGGTTTTTTACTCGATTTTGTATTCTCTTGGACATTCAATACTTATTTGTCTTGTTCTGTAATTGTAATAAAAATGAGGCCGAAGAAGAGTTCCCATTGAGACTGTGTGCATGGGTTTATAAAGGAGGGCCTCCAATAAATTATTCTGTATGCTTGGTTCCAAAATCTTTGGTTTAACTCAGTCTCTCTAGGGTAATGTTCTGATAACTATGTTGGCAATAGAAATGAGTCAAACAGTGGTAGTAATCACAGTCTACATAGGGCAATCATCTTTTATTTAAATGGTTATTTTTGTATATCAACCTGATGGAGACAAATCCCCAGAAATGAGTGAAATTTAGGGGAACTGACTAAATTTAGAGGAAATTTTTATTGAGGCTGTACCTTATACCATCAACTATGCCTGAAATGAAGAGTCCTCAAGTCTAGTTCCTATTATTGGGAGCTTAAAATTGTGTTACTAGAGGTAAACTTTTAAGATGGTTTCATAGGAATAGTGCCTTTAACTTCACATATGAACTAACTCGCAGGTAAGATGGGACTTTAAATTTTTTTTTTTATTTCTGAGTCTTGTATTTAAGAGCCTGAACAAAGGAAGACAGTAGACATTATTTAAACTATCTTAAGGTCCTTGAGTTCAAAGACTTCTATCAACATGCACAATGTGGTTAGTGTTAGAAGACCTGTGAAAATGATTATATGGTTTTCGTATGAATTTTTATTTGCTTAACTTTTCATTGTCTATTGAAGCTAGCTGAACTGTAAGTTGAATAGAAATATCTAAAATTGGGAACAAATGCAGAACTTACACTCTAAATCAGTCTGCTGTTTAAATATTTTATACTAGAGGTCCGGTGCACGAAATTCGTGCACTGGGGGGGGGGGGGGGTCCCTAAGCCCCGCCTGCGCCCTCTTGCAGTCAAGGTCTGGCAGCCCTCGGGGGATGTCCGACTGCTGAGGAGGTGGGAGAGGCTCCCGCCACTGCCTCTGCACTCGCAGGCTGTGAGCCTGGCTTCTGGCTGAGCAGCACTCCCCCTGTGGGAGTGCACGGACCACCAGGGGGCAGCTCCTACGTTGAGCATCTGCCCCCTGGTGGTCAGTGCACATCATAGCGACCAGTTCTGCCGTTCAGTAGATTTGCGTATTAGCCTTTTATATAGGATCATTGCCTATCATTTTAAAACTTTAGTTACTATTTTACCTGCTTTTCTTCCTATTTTACTTAGTTTTTATTATTAGCAGTAGGACATTTCATTATATTGACATGTATTCGTCTGTTCTCCATAATAGATAAATTTGCAGTTAATTACTGCATGTATGTGTTTATTTTTTAAAGAGTCTTTATTAATTTTTAGAGAGAAAGGGAGAAACGTACATTGAATTTGTGGTTGGTAAGCTGATTTTTTTTTAATCTGTTGTTCCACTTAGGAAAGGTGATATTCAAGCATGAAGGTATGCCATGCACAGCCATGACTGAGATGGCAATGCAATTAATCAATATAATAGAAAATAAAACTGAATCCATTTTTTATCTGTAGTTGAGGTGTAGTAAAAATTAATTCTAGCGTCGGCCTGCGGACTGAAGGGTCCCAGGTTCGATTCCGGTCAAGGGCATGTACCTTGGTTGCGGGCACATCCCCAGTAGGGAGTGTGCAGGAGGCGGCTGATCAATGTTTCTCTCTCATCGATGTTTCTAACTCTCTATCTCTCTCCCTTCCTCTCTGTAAAAAATCAATAAAATATATTTTTTTTAAAAATTAGTTCTAATAAAAATGTCTAGCCCTAGCCAGTTTTGTTCAGTGGATAGAGCGTCGGCCTGCGAACTGAAAGGTCCCAGGTTCAATTCTGGTCAAGGGCACATTCCTGGGTTGTGGGCTCAATCCCCAGTGGGGGACTTGCAGGAGGCAGCCAATCCATGTTTCTCTCTCATCATGGATGTTTCTCTCTCTCTCTCCCTCTTCCTTCCTCTCTAAAATCAATAAAAATATTTTAAAAAAAATTTTTTTAAATGTCTAACAAGGTGTGAATACATGTGCACAAAGTAAAGATGGGAAAATAGACAGTAAAAATCTATCTACATATATATAAAAGCCTAAGCAACCTGACGACTAGCCAGTCACTATGACATGCACTACCACCAGGGGACAGACGCTCAATGCAGAAGCTGCCATCTGGTGGTCAGTGTGTTCCCACAGCCAACCTCCTGCATTCCTTCCCTGTGGCCGGCTAGCCCTGATCAGCCCCAAACGCTGGCCAGGCTGAGGGACCCCATCCATGCACGAATTCATGCAT